TTTTTGTATCCTGTAAAAAGTTCTACCGTTGATAATGGAGTCAATTCAGCTACATCATCACTAGCTGCAGTTAATAGTTTGGCTTTTAAGAGTATTTGAATAACCTACACAAAGAAACTTTTAGTACTTTATCACTTGTGTATTTACCGCTATTAGATTATATTACCTGCAATAAAAATCCATTTTTATTTGTGTTGCATACTGTAGTTGTTGTATTGACCATGCTGTAGAGCCATTGTATGCTAACAAAACTGCCATTTGGAAAGTTGATGCTTGTAATGTATACCTATTTTTAAAACAATTCGTATGTAACTCTCCTTTAGACATATTATACAGCCAATTTAACTTTCTGCCACTGTGCTGTGAACTATAGAAAGTAGTAAACCTATGTACAGATCTTTCAAGCTGAAAATAAAAATCATGAATAAGTAATCAATGAAAAATTTTAAGAAAAAAAAAAAAAAAAATTAAGATTTGATTTTTTTTCGGTATATATCACCTCTGTTGGCAAAGAAAACGTGAAGGACTGTTGGAATGGCCATGAACCAGAAGATAAAACTTGTATACTGAAGTCTATGTCTAACGGTTCAGCAGAATTTGTCAAATGCGTCTTAAATTGTTCGTTTAGATCTTTTGACACACCGATATCCTGTGGATAGATTACTATTACAATTAAACTGTTATATTTTTCCAGTATTTCTTATAAAATATACATATTAATAATATCTATTAATAAAATCTCAAATAAAGTTATTTACAGAATGTACAGAATGTTTCTAAAATAAGAAACCATTTTAGAATTATATTTAATTTATTTTATAAAAAAATGTCATATAACATATATCTATAAATATCAATTTAATTTTTCAAAATCTCATTATAAAATATATTCAAGATAAAATCACATTCTTAAAACGAATTATCTTCTTCAATTAAATCAGTAAAGAATATTCTTCCATTAATCTGTCCATTTTTTGAATTTTCATTCGATAACTTTTCAATTACATGTCTAACTTATCTATGAATGTGTCATAAAATTCACTGTATCATAAAATTCAGAATATTAAAAATAATTATGCTTGCATTCAATTAATTTAACTATTACGTTAGTAATTTAAAAGACTATTATTTTTACATTTATTATATACAAATGTAACAAGTATATATTAATATTGATGAATAATGATATTATTTGTTCATTCAAATGTTTAAGTAAATTAAATTGCTAAATAATCAAGATTAATTAAATTTTTATTTTATTTTTTTTTAAATAAGACTTAATAAAACTCGTACTCTTATCTAAAAAAAATATTTTATATATTTTTATGCATAATTATAGAAACTGTTATTGTGCACTTGTAGAGATACATATTTATATGATAATTTTTAATTAATGCAATGTGTAGAATAGAAAAATTTGATTTCTTATTTCAGAACACTGTGTTTGTGTGTGTGTATAAAATTAAATGTTATATTACCTGGAACATACGCTGTAACTTTGAAGTATATTCAAATCCACAAGCTTGTTTCAACTTAGAAATCATGGAAGCTTCTGCATCATCATTAGCAGACATATGTTGTACTAATCGTTTTGCTAACATTTTGCTGTAGAATTTTTGAAATACATCTTTGTCTTCAATGTATTTGAACACTACCATCTATAAAGAAAAAATATAAATTAAAGCAATTTTTTCATGAAAATTAAAAAAAGTTAATAAATTTATATACTATACTTACGACTTGATTAAGTGTATCTTCAAGTTCTGCCTCTTCTGGATTCTTACTACTTTTTTTAAGCAACAAATCGCAATATTTAGCTAATAATTCAGGCGACTTACTACTGCTGTTTGCTGCTCTTGTGACAGAGTTACTGTTGATAAACCGTCCACAAGCCTTGTCCAAGGCCGCAACAAAACCGCTATCATTATTAAATGCAACCAATACTAAAGCATTGTATTTTTTATGTACCTCTAAAATTGTATTAACATAAATCTTGGGATCCTGTAAACGAGGATTCGTTAACTCTTAGTCAATTCATAATATTATGCAATTCATAATATAATCATAGCTACACTAAATAAAAAAAGACATACATTAGCTGCAGAATCACCACACTTATCTATAGCTGCCAGACCCTGATTAGCGATATGACTTTCTAACAGATTTCTCAATTCTCCAAGGCCATTTGGTATCCTGGCTACTAATTGATACATTCTACCCAAATCTGTATTTTTATCGGCATCCAAAAGATTCTGGAATTCAGAATGAAATATGTCCAAATGTTTCTCGATAAGTACTCTCTCGCATGTTTTTGCCAGTCGTTCGTGAGTCGTTTGGTGCAAATAAACACGCACTCGCTTTTGTTCTTCTAATAATCTCTGTTCCGCCTGCGCAGAAAAGATGCAAAGATGAATAAAATTTATTTTATATATTGTTTTTTTTGTTTTGTTAAAGTTACCTTTTTCATATATTCTGTTACAGGATTTTGTCTAAGAAATTCTGAACTTTCACGAGTGTAGAATCGTTCTGTATCTTCAAGAAAAATATTTTCAAATGAATCTTTATACACTGTTAAATTTTGTCCTTTAGCACCTGGGTCTTCTTCATTTAAACCCAATTCTACATAACAATTGATGACACCGCTAACTAATCGGGTATTTATCGTTTCACCGTTGCGTTCTCTCTCGATTAATTTAAGCACTGCGTTAGTAACCTGGAAGAGAATGGGAGACAAATTTTACATTTCATAACAATGTAACAAGTATACATTGATATTAGCAAGAACATTATTTACTTGTCTATTTAAATGCTTAAATAAATTATCTCGCCATGTAACCAGAGCTAACTGATAAATTTCATAAATTCCTTTGCGACCTTCTTCACATTCTCTTCGTACCCAGTGACGATTAAGATATGCACATACACCATTTAATACTTTACTACTGAATTGATATTCTTCCCATTGTCTTGTATAGAATTGTAGTACATCCTCATCCATCAAGTCAATGCCATGCTGCAATATTACGTGTGCATTACAATATATTTTTAAAACTTTGATAAAAAAAAATGTATCTCTCTCTTATAGATATACACATATTTACTTTAAGTAAATTAATAAGATAATTTCTAAGAAAATCACGCAGACGTTTGTACAGCTCCAAACCCACTAACTGCGCACCTCCTTGCTGAATTTGTCCCTTTTTACTTTTAGTTGATGTTCTTGTCAATTGCTGATGAACACTTGTACAATAATTATATACATGTCTGTAGGAATTTTATAATAGGAAAATATCATGCATGGATAATTAACTTAGAGAAGAGAAATATAAATATTTTTCAAAGGATACGTATATAGCTCTATATATCTTGGTTTAGACATGCATTGCCTGTTATAAACTTGTTCTATGCCCTCACGCAGGTCTCCCCAAATTTGATCCAAATCAATCTGTTTGAGGCCTGGAGGACCACCTTGATGACTTCCAGCTCCTCCAGCGCCTCTATGTCCCGACATTCTGTTCTTGTATGCTCGTCGAGTAACTGTCACTGTTATTATACACTACTATAATTTCTGTAGAAATAAATATAAAATTAATACTAAACTACTCTTCCTTTTAATAAGACTTAATTGATTATATATATATATATATATGTGTGTGTTTTTTTGAATCATATATATACACACACACACACACACACACAATATGTATGCATATATGTATTACAAAACATAAGTTAAGAAAACAGTATTTCTTTTATATCTCTGTACAGAGAAATAAAAGGTAGTTACGTTATTTCTAAATTATTTATTCGTAATATCTTTCAACTCGAAATAAAGAAACAAAAAATTTGTATAATTTAAGGATGTTATCAACGTTTTTCACATCAGGATATGTATCTCTCTATTGAATTCAAAATTCATATTCAAAGAAAGAAACTATGTGAAAAGAAAAGGTTAGTCAACGATGGGCATTCCGTTACATCGTGTACGATTCATACTTCTGGAGACTAAAGATAGAGACAGTCAGACGCGCAGAGAGAAAGACGAAGAACATTACAGAACGGGGAAGGGGAGAAGGAGAGGAGGGAGAGGGAGAGAGAATTGTGTTGAGAGGCGTATTCGCGTTCCTATTGCGTACTATATTTCTTTTTTTCCATAGAAGAGAGCGAATAGGAAAGAGGAAAAAAAGTATCCTGAGCGGGACACATTCGAAGAAAAACACGTACTCACCTACTGATATTCACCACCACATAACAAGATAACAACGGCCAACGAGGGACAACTCTCGTACGAAAATACGGTGGTGACCAGCTTTGTTCCGCGAACGTTGGAACAAATGATATTGATGTTATGCTGTTCCTTACATAAAATTTGTTACCGGGACCTATCACCTCGATCCTGTACAATTTGTCTTACACACGACGATGGGTGCAGCGACCCAACGCGACAAACCAATGTACGTGCTTGAGGAATTATCACGGTCACGGATCCACTGTTTCAGTTCTGACAGGTTAGGCTGCCAACGTTACCAACCGCAACGTGCGATACGATAGGGTACCGTCTCGCACAGGATAAAGTCTCGCTACAAATGCTTCGAAACGTTCGATTGACCAATCGGAACAAAAAATTTTACCAATCGACCAATCAAAAAATACTTCGTAGCATTTTTAGCATCACGTTGATATTGCATCCTTAAGGGCCTATAGACCTATCCAGATAAATTTGCACAGCAGCATAACCATATGCAGAAGAAAAATTATTCAATCGTATTTCTATAAAGACACATGTAGAATGTGATTGGATAATTTTCCTTATCATATGGTTATGCTGCTATTCAAGTTTGTCTGGATAGGTCCCTACTATGATGGTATTTTCACAAAAATTCAAGGTTAGACAACAATTTCCCGAAAAAGGGGATAATGTTGGTAACGAAATCTTCTAAACGAAATAATTTTAGTTTCAATGGATTAGTAGCACGGTTCAAGTAGTAATCTGTTAGTTTACACGTTCTTTTTGACATATGCGTGGGTATAATGTAAATATAAAATATATTGTAATATTTTATTAAAATTAAATAAGGACAAATAAGTGAAAACATAAAGTGCGCAGAACATAATAAGTAAGAACATAAAGTGAACAAGGTGGGAAACAATAATAAATATTATATATATTAATGTGTGTATATATGGTATGTGTACTGTGTGTGTGTGTGTGTGTGTGTGTGTGTGTGCGCGCGTGCGTGTGCGTGTGCGCGCGCGCGCGCGCATAATATGTATTGCGTCGTTAATTATTGTATTATTATTTATGTTTTATACATAGTTTGATCTTATTTAATGATTGTATTTTGTCTAGACTGTAATCATCACTGAATTTCTGTTGATTGTTGAACACTACTGATAAAGACTGTTGATGCTCGTGTCGAAAGCAGAGAGATTATTTCTAATTTGGCTAAAGCTGTAAAATTGGCTATGATGAGATTTCCACAATGAGATCTGATATTGACTGCGTTCAGCAAAAAAGTAACTTTGCAACTGTAATTGATCGTGTAAGATTCTTCAATATGATTTATACATACAATATGGTTTATACATTTAAATCCATAGGAACTAAGGACAAAAACCAATCATATCAAAGATTTTTATAACAGTTGCAAAGCTACTTTCTCTGCTGAATGCAGCCATTGATAATATTGATAAATATATACGTAACACGACAGCAAGAGCGTTTGTAATGTCGCATCCGCATTTACATTTTGACATGCCCGCGCATATGTCAAAAAGAATGTATAAATTAACAGATTATTACTTGAACAGTGCTACTAATCTATAGAAATTAAAATTATGTCATTCAGAAGATTTCGTTGGTACCAACATTATCCCTCCATTTTTCGGGAAAATGTCGTGTAACCTGTTTCTGCACTAAAATTTTCTATTTCCGGCTAATAGTTGATTCTTATTTTAAGCCGTCATGAGTGAGTGATGCCCAAAGTGGAGCGATATTGTCCAATTTAAAATAAAATTATTTGATTGGTTCCAGTGGAAAATCTCCAAGCATTGATCGCTATAAGTGGCTGTGTCCAATTACAACGTGGTCAAACGGGACGCTCTCTCTAATTACAACGTGGTCGAACAATATGCTCTCGGTGATATAAATAATAATCTTGTTCTTTTTGGCTGAACTGACTGTACTACTATACTAGTTCACAGTTTATTTTTCTTTCTTACACTGGAAGATAAATTCTGTTAGTGTCGGTCCACAATAGGTGATTTAAGCTTTAAGAAGTAAGAAATTGACCAATTATAATCGAATATGAAAAGAATAATCGACTGTGATTGGTCAATTTCTTATGATTTAAAGATTAAATACTTATTGTGGGCCGACACTTAAATATCCAGAGCTCTTCTAGGATTCTTTCTGATAATATTTTAAAATCTTTATCATTTACATTAAGAAATTGACCAATTATATTTATATTAGTGTCGGTCCACAATAGGTGATTTAAGCTTTAAGAAGTAAGAAATTGACCAATCATAGTCGATTATTCTTTTCATATTCGATTATAATTGGTCAATTTCTTACTTCTTAAAGGTTAAATCATCTATTGTGGACCGACACTTATATTTCTTACTTCTTAAAGCTTCAATCACCTATGTGTCAGTCCACACCAATATTTGACCAATTATAATAAAGATTAAATACTTATTGTGGACCAACACTAAAAGATAAATCAATATTCAAGTAAAAAATAAAAAAACGATTTTTCACAATTTATTACATCAACAAAAGTGAATAATTGCTTCATTTTTCATCTTTTATCTGTTTAATATGTAAAATATGTTGAACTATCATTTTTGTCTTGCAGATGAGTGTCGGTCCACAATAAGTATTTAATCTTTAAGCCGTAAGAAATTGACTAATCATAGTCGAGTATTCTTTTCATATTCGATTATAATTGGTCAATTTCTTACTTCTTAAAGCTTAAATCACCTATTGTGGACCGACACTGAAAGATATAAAATATCAAATGGTATGTTTATATAGTTATTCTTATAATTGAATAACAATTGTATGCAATTTTATTCATTTTACATCTAACAAAATATACAACTTATACTACATTATAAGTTTTTTTTTGTATCAAGTGGCTATACAAGTTTATTTAGATAAGTCTTGAAAAATGACACGGTAAATAAACTGTCTATGATTTATTCATTTTCTCTTCCTAATATGTACCTATTACATTAAATTATATTTAATTGGAACACTGCTACTTGCAAAAAGTCTGAGAAAGGAAGGTTTCTGAATTGGAAGGTCTCTCTCAATAGTCTAAAAAAAGTTTACTTGATTAAAAATGTAATTAATAAAATATTGGCAGTATATGTGCAATTTGGCAGCAAATTCAATTGAAAATTATTGCAAATTAATGTTTATATTAATTTTTTGTTAACAGAATTTGCTTGTATGATTAATAATAGAACAATTAATTAAACTATCTAAAAAATTTATTTATAGCTATGTTTTTGAAAAACAATATTTCTCTTTCTGTTTCTAAAATAAAAAGGCCTTCCAATGAATGAACTTCTTTTTCAGTGCAAATCTTTTATACGAGACTTATGTGGAGAAGCATTTATATATGATATGAAATATATAAGTCTAATTAAATTATATATATAAATCAATACATACATTATGCAACGTTTTAAATTTTTACTCACATATAGAACAACATCTTCTATGTTTTAAATGAGCTCTATATTTATTTAAAGAATATAATTTTTAACCTTACTCAGCAAATACAGCAAATACAGAATCACTAATGAAATAATGATCACATATATTCTTCTGTTATAGAAGAGCAAAAATGTTATTCTTAAATATGATATGATCGAACAATTGTATCAAGTTTTTCGGTCGATTATTTGACAAATCATTGGAAGAGAAGATGTATCAGATTCTAGATAAAAAAAACTTGATGCAAGTATAACTACTAATCATTAATCAACATTTGTGCTCTTATTACTTGTTAGTTACAAGAGCATTACATTCAATTATTCTAATATGTGCTGATTAATCTTGAAAATTTATGTCAAAAATACTCAGCAAATGTAATATAAATAATATACACAGGATATACACATGATATATACATAATATTCCACTACAGCCAGATTAATCATTAATGACAGAATCTTTAATAAATTTTATTGATTTTTCCAATAATTTTATTGATAGATATTTGTATACCAGCAATATAAATTTAAAAATTTATAAATATTAAAAAACTTTCAAAGCAAATTAAAATTTCTTAATAATTCATTTAATGTGAAAACAATAACGAGAACCAGCGCTGTTGACAGTATTTAATACTGAAAATCACTTAACTAATATTTAATTCATTTAAAACTAAATAAAATTGTCTTTTCTAATGTTTCTAAAAATTTGTTTAAGAAATTTCTTTATCCGTATCACTTATAATTCAGAAGCTATTGATGCCAATGATATTTTAAAATTATGACTTTTCTCTTTAATTTAAAAGATTTATCATTTTATGCTTGCTTTATAATAGTAGAATATTTTGTATAATTAAATGACACATATATATATATATACCTTGAAGTCATCAATATTTCTTTGTATATGTGTATGCGCGCGCGCGCGCGCGCGCGTGTGTGTGTGTGTGTGTGTGTGTGTGTGTTTTGTATACATGCGCATTTGACTACATCAATCACAAAAATTATTTCATCTTGAGCAATCATTCTTTTAAATATAAATCATTTATCAATCATGGGCCAGATAATAATATAATATCTTACATGTATTTCTTTCTTAAATAAATTAAAATATAGGAATGTGTGTAAGACAGAAAATGATTTGTAGCAGAAAAATTCAAGTTTAAGATATAAAAAAAATGTATGTATATCGAAAAATTTTATATAAATATGAATAAAAATCTAGCTAATTCAATAACAAATGATTTTTAAAAAGCACTTTTGGCACTTCTAATAATTAGTAATTTGAAAAGTAAAATGTAAATAAAATAATATTAAACTAATATTCATACACGCCACTAAAAGTTCTAAGTATCATCTTACTCGTAATTTCTGTTATATAATTCAAAATTTTACAAAATTAATATTTTCAATCATTTAAATAAATTATTGTATTAATGTAGTAATGGCCATTTGTAGGATATATAATAAGCATTTATAAGAATATATGCATATATACAAGATATATCATAATCATATAGATGCTTCATCTAGGAATTCTTGGCCTACTTTCTGTAAGAAGAATTGACTCAAATTCACTTTAGCTTGATTTTAATTTAATGTCAGGAAAAAAGATGTAAAAATTGTTACTAAAATTTAATATAAATAATGTAATCTATATATATGCAATGTATTCATGATTATACAAAATTTATTTAATATATTAACAATGTGCCAATTACAAAGATTATTCCTCTGCCATATTGCATGAAAATAATTAACTTATCAATATACATATGCAAAAATATGTTTTTTAACAGAAACACATTACATTAGTCCAATTTTCATTAATTATAAAAGCAATTATCAACCAAAACAGTATTATCCCCAATACATATATAAGAAAAAGATAAAGAACTGAGTATATATCAATTGTCAATTCTTTTAAATTAAAATGATCGAAAACAAACATTAAAGTGATTAACTCACTTTGCCCACACATATTCATAGCTTTATTAGATCGCTATAGATTAAGATTATAATGATGCAATAAAATTTATAATACCGTATAAATAATGCTGTTTTAAAATATTTAAATTTTACGTATACATTTTATTTGGCAGAGAGAAGCTTATCTATAGACATAATATTACAAAAAAGGAATATAAGATTAATATATGTCTTTTTTCTGCTCCTTATATGACATTCTGAAAGCAATTCTGTTTTATAATTCAAATGCAATATTATCACGGAAGTATTCAGTTTCGTCTATTGAGTACTTACTTAACTAATCAAAATAAAACGCTTTGATATTATACATTAAAATAAGTTGTCAAGTTGTATCAATCTATAATTTTCTATCATTCTGTTTACCGTTTCATGACATACAATAGACATGAATCTATGAATAATTAGATTCATCATCACTTCCTATGACAGTCTTCGACTTTGGCATTATTAAACTGAAGCAATAAATTCTCTTTTCTGTATTGTCTTCCCGTAATATATCCCATACTATCTTACATACTCATTTAATACAAACATAAGAAATAACAAACACAATTCTTATATCTCAATGTATCTCGAATATATTAAAGTAAAAATAGATCAGAAAAAGCCCATTAAATATTAAAATTCAAAAAATTTCTCTAGATTTCTTTTCAGATCGTAACATGTTTTTATATATTTATGATACAATTTGTATTTATCATTGTCCCAAAGTTTTAATAAATATCTTGGAAAGTTGCTGTTGGGACACTTAAATCACAATTTGTATCAATGTTAGATCTAAAAAAATAAAATCAGACATGTCTGCTTATTTACTTGTTCAAGTTTTGATCAGTTATCACTTACAATCATTCGTACAACACAAAAAAAGATTAAGTTGCTCACCCAATTAATTACTAACGATCAAACAATACTAGCTGGGGTATTGCTGAGACCGATCGGCTGAGTATTTTCAACTAGTGTGGACTGCATGCTTGATGATGGAGCTTGAACATCCATTGCTGTTGTTCTCATTTCGCCAAAAGGTGCCCTGAAATATAGATATATTAATTTTTCTAGAAATGATTCTTTCTTTATATCAATTGTGACATTTAGACACAATTTTATATCTAATATTTTTAGCTTATATAGAGCAATTTGCATCTATAATTTAACAAGCATAATTATATCATGCAAGCTTGTATAACATGCATGTATAATGTCCACAATAAAGGTCACAATGTTAATAAACTCTTAAAAACATAATCAAAAGCATTACTTTTTAATTATTAATTAATTGGATATAAGTTACAGAAATAAATTATTAATTTTTTTATTTCTGGAATTCCTATTACCAAAATGTTAAATATGCTTGGTGTTAATCTGTGGTTTAAATAAGTATTATTTTGTATATAAATTATTAATTCATTTCCAAAAATTTTATTTTATTTAAAAATATTTTAATATTAAATTAGTGCAATAATGCAATAAAAAAATGTAATTGTAAAATAAAGCACAAATGATAAAGAATGTCATTTGTCATTGAGCACCGGATGCATTGAATGGATATTTAGTAAAGTATATTATTTAGATTTTATAGTAACGTTAAATCTTGTATATTATTGCCTGGTTAGTGAAGTGGTGCAATGAATGTTTGATGATTTATGTAGGCCTCCAAACATCTGGATCTTCCATGAGAGTAGTATGGTGATCTGTAGTAGGAGGCACTGTACCCTGTGGGGAACCCACACCCGATGTCATTCCAGTTGGGTCAGGCCTAGATCCTCTATTATTGTATTACATTATTATGTTATTATGTTATTAAGTATTAGTAAAAACAACTTTACTAGAATCATTTATTAAAAACAAGATAAAATTACTTTATATATGTATATATCTTAGACTTACATTAATACTCATAAAGAGTTATTTTATTAGAACAGTTATATTAATTAGAACTGAAAACTAAACCGTTCTATTTAAAAAAAAATTTTTCCCTGACATTGAATTTTCAACAAATATTTTTCAAACTTTCAACGTATTGTCTCTTATACAATTTTAATTTTTTGTAAAATTATCTTGTAAAAAAAACCTTGTGTCTTTCCACAAGCCCAAGGAAAGTATTACATCAAAAACACAAACGCACAAAAATCACTCTTCCACCCAAAGCATAAAGGTATTACACATTAAGAAATAAAGGAAAAAGCATCCATTACATAGTTTTATATTAATTTAAAGCAATTTCATATGGACATAGAAAATATGACATATATATTGTTAATTATACAGAAAAATAGATGAAATGATAGGTAATTGGTTCATAATACTTGCTTTTTTTTAAATTAATAATCTATGGGAATAAAACAAACTAAATTGTAACTTTTCTTGCGATTTATAAACATCTTAATGACTTTTTATCTAATGATATTTTACAATATTGGCTGTATTGAAAACCTATAGTTTATATTATATAAACTATAAGTTTTTAATATTTTATATTTTTATATTTTAATATTTTATATTTTATATTCATAATTACAGTTACAATTTTCCATCAAACCAATATATATAAAAATGTAAAGGCAAAAATAGATCAATTATGGCAAGTTATGGCAAAATAAACCAAAACAAAGACTTGAAAAAATATTAATATTGCGAAATGTTTTATGCAAAACAATAATATTGTTTGCAATATTTCTGATATATATTTGCATGAATTCAGTTTGATAAAATTCTCTTTATCAAACTAAATTTGTTCTATTGTCTAAAAAGTTACTATAAAAGTTATGTAAATATAAATCATACTAATTATATTTGTTGTAAGTTTTGCAATTTTTTTTCAATTTTTTTTCTTTACCAATAAAGTTTTTAGTCAATTATTTTATAGATTATATTTTACTAATTTTTCTGAAAAATTATACTTACTTTTTGCCTAGTGACATCATTCCATATATTATGCCTGTTGTAAATATTAGTCCACTGCCAAATATACTACTTATTTCAGTACATAGGAAGACTGCTGGTAATGCTATTCTAAATTAATAATAATAATCATAATTTAATATATTAGGGCATATATAAGCAATTTTTAGAATCCTTTGTGAACTTTATATATAAAAGAAATAACACAAAATACTTACAAACAATAAACAGCTGCTCTATTCCAATATGGTCTCTTTTCCACCCAATCACTAAAATTCTGTACAAAGTCAATGAACAAACAGCAACAGGGTGCTTCGATCATTATAACCAGGAAACCAGCTATCATTTGCCACATACCGCCAATTAAGCAGCCAACGTTCGCAAAAATTATCGATATGCAATTCCATGCTCCAAGGAAAATTGCAACTGCAAATAAATAATGATTTTTATGTAAATTGCATTTTATTTGCAGAACCTCATAGCTTAAAGCTATAATTGACTTTTAAATTTAGTACTGTAATACTGTGTCTAAAGCTACAAATAAATACATATAGAAAACACACGCATATACTACAGAAATTCACATGTGTACACACATGCAAAAAGACTGAAAAACCCAAATATTACTGTTAGGAAACTAAAATAAAAAAATGACTTTAAACGATTAAATAATGATACTTAACACGCGTATATCACACGCATACATTCATCTCATACATATACCACTCATGCGATATAGAAATAGCGCATAATATAGAAGAGAAAAAAAGCAATGAATCATATAAACTTACTTATACTTCCTACAGTACCAAGTCCACGACCCGCATATTTCATCCACCAGGGCACATCATCTTTGGCGACAGGATCCTGTCCAGGCCTCTGCATGATCGAAGCTATTTTTTCGCCGAATGACTAAAAATATAAAGAATAAAAAATATCACAAATACATCCGTCGTAGCGCGAGTCGTCGATCGAGATATTAAAAAAAATATATATTTTTACCATTTTTGATGTTATACTATTATTTTTTGTGCGTCAGCTGAGGACGCTGACAATATCTGATAATATTAGAATATCTGGTATCTGTTGATATACGGAAAATCGACCCGTTGATTGTGCTTTTATGACCATGAGGGCGCGTCGTACGCTAGAAACTATAGAAAC